TGAGTGTAGAAGTGTGCTTTATAAGTGGGCAAATGGGCCCATTAATATAAAATGTCATGCTGTTGTTAATGCATATTCTAATTATTGTTTACTTCTATTATTTTTTCCCGTTTGGAGATTTATGCAACCTCTCTCTTGCTCTGAACACGCAGCGATGGCCACACACATGCACGGAGTGTGCGTTCTCACTGTGTTTTGTCAGTGTTGCATGACTAAAGGCCTGTTTTGTCTGTGCTGGTGTTTTGTGCGTTGTTAGATTTTATGAATGGAGGGTCGCTACCGCACACACAGTTATCCGCACACGTGTATACACACGCTCAGACGATGCAACACTGCCGTACGCCAGATCCAAAAATGAGATAAGTGCTTCAGCCCTGGAGGATACACAGTTTGCTTTTCATGTAAATAAACTGAATCTAAATATGTCCAAAGGATTAGCACATAGCTGCTTTATGCTAACTGAACAGAAAGCAGCCACAGTCTTATGAAAGAGTTTTGTTGATTTTATAAGTGGAGATAAGTTAACAAATCTCTACAGAGAACACACTTAAATACGACCCTATTTCTGCATATTTTCTATTTATTTGCTGAGTTTTATTTGCTCACATGCTGGGAAAAAAAAAAATAAAGCATGAAGTATAAAAGGTGCCGTGACTTTTGCACAGGACACAATATATGTTTTTTTCTTTTCTTTTTTTTCTTTTTTCCAATATGCAGAAAAATGCCATATTTAAGTAGAGGATGTTTTAACGTATTAACTTATTAACTTATTGTTCACTTAGAAAATCATCTGAACATGTCATTTGACCAGGGGCGCCTAAACTTTTGCACACAACTGTATGTGCTAATCTTCTGGGTATATTTGACTTAATTCCCAAAGCGCTGTCACTCATACAGGCGCAGATATTTATTTACGTCTACGTGTCGTTTTCCTCTAATTACACCTGCAGAGGCTTTAATACAGTATATAATAGTGTGTTATGTAAAGTATATAATACAGTGTTTAATAATATGTATGTATGAGAGGTTTTGGGGTTACTGAGTCCAAACTGGAGAGAACTGACCCACCTGACCACACACGCAGCGTCGGTAATGAAAGAGTGTAGGGTGGGGAGATGGGGGAAGGAAGGGCGGGTGGGGGGATGAGGGGGAAGTGAGGGCGGGTGAGCGAGGAGAATGAGGAAGCAATTAGCCGTTAAAGTGAGATTAGGTGTGCAGGGGTCAACACTCAAACTGAGAGAGAGAGAGAGAGAGAGAGAGAGAGAGAGAGAGAGAGAGAGAGAGAGAGAGACCAAAAGACAGAGATGGAAAGAAAGAAATAAGAAACAGAAAGGGGAAGAGGGAGAGAGACAGAGAGGGAGAAAGAGAGAAATAGGGAAACAAGCGAGATAGAGAGAGAGATAAGAAAAAGAAAGGGAAAGAGGGGAAGAGACAGAAAGGGAAAAGAGAGAGAGGAGAGAGAAATAGAGAGAGAGAAATGGGAAGGGTGAAGGGTGAGAAATGGGAAGGGTGAGACAAAAGGGGAGAAAGAAGGATGGGAGAGAGAAAGAAAACTAGAGGGACAGAGAGACAGAGAGAGAGATGGAGAGAAAGATGACAAAAAGGGTGAAGAGAAATGTGGAGAGGGAGAGAGAGAAAAAGGGAAACAAGAGAGAGCAAAAGAGAGATGGAGTGAGAGATAAGAGAAAGAAGGGGCAAGAGGGGGGAGACAGAAGGGGAGAAAGAAGGATGAGAGAGGGGAAGAAAGAGACAGAAGACAGATGCAGAGAGAAAGAAAACAGGAGGAACAGAGAAAATGTGGGGGGGAAGAGAGAGAGAAATAGGGAAATGAGAGCGAGACGAAAGAGAGATGGAGAGACAGATAAGAGGAAGAAAGGGGGAGAGGGGGAGACAGAAGGGGAGAAAGAAGGATGGGAGAGAGAGAGAGAAGTAGGGAAACAAGAGAGTGAGATGAAAGAGATGGCATGAGAGAGATAAGAGGAAGAAAGGGAGAGAGGGGGAGACAGAAGGGGAGAAAGAAGGATGGGAGGGACAGAGAGAAAGAGAGAGAGAAGGAGAGAAAGATGAATAAGAAGGGTAAAGAAAAATAGGAAGGGAGAGAGAAAAAGAAGAGGGAGAGATATAGAGAAAAGCAGAGAGAGGGATACACATAAAAGAGAAAAATAGGGAGAGGGAGGACAGATAAAAGGACAGAGAGAAGGGGAGAGTGATAAATAGAGGAGAGAGAGAGAGGTAAGAGAGACATTATTGAGAGAGGGGTAATGAGGGAGAGAGAGAGGAACATGGAGGAGAAATGAAGGAGAGACAGAGAAAAGGAGAGAGGGAACAGAGTTAGCGAGTGACAGAGAAGCGGAAGAAACTGTGGTTTCCTGTGGCCTGTGGGTCATTCTGCTTGGTGATGTCATCATGCCCTGCGCTGTTTTGGATTGAGTCCAATATGCAGAACCAAATGCTTCGTTTTACTGCATTGTTCTGGGATTACTGGACATTTTACTGTGAACTGCCAACGCAGCACGGTAGCTAGAACCGCAGCTAGCTACTGTTTGAGTCATGACAGTTGGACTGAGAGGGTCCCAGTTAAATGTTTGGACACCCTCAATTAATGATCTACAGACCACGGTCAGAGGAGGCTTACTAGTATCCAAGCTCCTTCATATCCTGAGAGGAGTAAGGAGCTGCCTTGCTGTCCTATAGATGTAATTCACATCATCCTGGAAGGTTAACTTAACAAGTTCTGCTCCTAGATGTTCTGTACACTGTTCATTTGTCCCACAGAGAAGACTTGCTCAGGCCCAGAGTTCCTTAAATAGCCGTGACGCTGACCGCACAATGACGCACGACTTCAGTGATCTGTTAAGAGTTCCTGAAAATTGTTTGTGGCACCAAAATGATTTTTTAAAGTCTGCGCCTCTGAGCACAGCTGAGATGGAGTGTGTGTGTGTGTGAGCCCCGTCTCAGCTGTGCTTCAGAAGGTAAACCCATGGCTTCACACGCAGGCCGAGGCGCGTGATTGGCTCTCTGCAGGTGTTTCTGGTCGTTTTGATGTTGAGAACTCTCTCTGTTGTTGTTATTATAGAATCGCGTGTAAGATGGATGGCATGCAGCTGATTAAACAGATAACTGTGACCGAGAGCGTCTGAAGAAATAAAAATCTTCTAACACATTTCTGCTTTTTTTTCACTGAACTTTTTTTTTATTTTGTCGCTGTGGTAATAAAACCTGTATTTCTGGTAACGTTAGAAGAAAATCTGATATTTAAATCCGGATTTACAGTCGGAATCAGGCAAGATTTTTGTTCCAAACATACGTTTGGCAATCAGACGATTTATTATTTTGATTATTTTTTTTTTATGACATAAATAAGGTCAGGGAAGCATTTCAATGCTGCTGCAACACCTGTATAAAAATGCCATTAAACATGACTCACTGTGCTAGTCTACCATCTCTCACTGTCAGTGAGTGCGTTCACTGCACTTACTAATCCGATAACTGCAGAAAATCAGATTTTGTCAGTAACCCGATCAACGTGTTTACATGCACTTGAGTAAACAGATAATGGGGAACTCCAGGTCTACATGAGTCAGACAGTAATCAGATTTCTGCTTTGCAACCAGCCAATAAACTCACAGAAGAAGACGTGACATAAACTTTATGCCACAGCTTGTTTTTTTAAACATTGAGCCATTGTACCTGAAAATATGAACATACCTCATCTAAAAGATGAAGAATATTTGAATCCATCATTTTGTCAAGCATGTAGTTGGTTTCAGCGTCACTACAAAAGTGGTTATACTGCATATTGCGGCAACGCTGCTTACTTATTTCCGGTATTGCCGTCTGTTTTCTCACATGCGCAGACTGAGAAATCCGAAAGAAATCAGAGTAAGAGTTTACTTAATCGGATTTCGAGACCTTGCTCTGATCTACGAAATCAGAGTATGCTGTTTACATGACCATTTGAATAATCAGATAACCGCAGAAATCTGATTATGATCGGCTTATTAAGTGCATGTAAACATACTCACAGTAGCACTTTACTTGATTCACGTTATTTTAAAAAGCATCTGATTTAAGAACTTAAAATGCCAGTTTTACCCACTAAAGAGCAAATAATATTGTTTATGTTGTGATTTTGGCTAACAGAATGTACCGGAAAAGTTTTTTGTCCACATTGTGAGCTTTGGGCTTAAAAATGCTACAAAATCAGCAAAACAATCGTCTGTTGGCCAATTTGACTGTAACGAAATCAAAATCAGAATCAACTGTAATAATTCAACCTTTACCATACATTTGTATTATGAGTGATTTTGGATAGTTTCTATTAGTCCATTCATCTAATAATCGAAACGATGATTTCAGTACTTTGACCTCATTCCACTTCAACACTCTGTCTCTTTCTTTTTCTAACGGAAAAGAAAGTTACAGGCCGATGTTTGGTCAGCCCAATCACAAACACAAATAACAGCAGGGGCAACAATAACAATAACAACAATAACAATAAGAGCAGCAGTGGTCAGTAAAGTGGGTCTAGGCAGCAGTAAGTGGCGAGGTGGTGTGCGGGAACCAAAGGTCAAAAGTCAGCCAACAGGGTCAGATGTAGGGACTGAGTGGGGCCGCAGCGTTACTGAGGTCATAAACCTGCCACACACACAGACAGGGTCACTTTGTCAGACACACCTGTTTAAATCAGATATGGAGGGAACAGTAAGTGTGTGTGTTGCACATTTGCGTTTTTTCTCGTTAAACACACTGTGTGTAAAAATATGTGAACATGGCTAAAAGTGTGCAGTGATGACAAGTGTGTGTGTGTGTGTGTGTGTGTGTGTGTGTGTGTGTCAGGGTCATGGAGAGTTTCCTCTCTGTGACTACTGTGTGTGTGTGTTTGCTCATTAATCCGTCCCATAAAGCAAAAGCACATACACACTGTGTATGAGTGCAGTAGGTGACTGCAGTGTTTACAGCGTTATTAACAGTTTTATGTCTTTTTTTCCTTTTTTCAGTGACATATTTGATGCCATGTTCCCTGTCACACACATTGCTGGAGAAACAGTCATTCAGCAAGGTTTGTAAAACACACACACACACACACACACACACACACACACAGTACTGTGGTTTTTGCCTCTGCATCTTTTGTAAGTTAGTAAGTTTGGGTTTTGGTTTGGGGTTGGGTCTGAGTTTTGGTTTGGTTTTAGGTTTAGGGTTGGGTTTAGGTTTAGGGTTAAGTTTAAGTTTTGGGTTGGATTGGGGGTAAGGTTTGGTTGAGGTTAGCGTTTGGGTTGGATTTAGGTTTAGGGTTTGAGTTTGGAGTGGGTTGGAGTTGGTGTGTTGGTTTGGGCTTTAGTTTATTTTTTGAGTAGAGGTTTGGATTGACTTTGGACGTCAGGCTGTGTTTGGGTTGGGGTTTGGATTGGCTTTGGGCTTTGGGCTGTGGTTGTATTTGAGGTTTGGATTGGCTTGGTTTTTTATTGGCTTTGGGCTTCAGACTGTGGTTGGGTTAGGGTTTAGATTGGCTGTAGGCTTTGGTCTCCAGGCTGTGATTGGATTTGAGGTTTGGATTGGCTTTGAGCTCCAGGTTGTGTATGGGTTAGGGTTTGGATTGGCTTTGGGCTCCAGGCTGTGTTTGGGTTGGGGTTTGGATTGGCTTTGGGCTCCAGGCTGTGTTTGGGTTGGGGTTTGGATTGGCTTTGGGCTCCAGGCTGTGGTTAGGATTTGGTTTGGCTTAGCTTTGGGCTCAAAGTTGTGTTTGGGTTGGGGGTTGGATTGGCTTTGAGCTTCAGGCTGTGTTTGGGTTTGGATTGACTTGGGCTTCAGGCTTAGGTTGGGTTTGGATTGGCTTTGGGCTTCAGGCTTGGGTTGGGTTTGGATTGGCTTTGGGCCTCAGGCTGTGTTTGGGTTGGGGTTTGGATTGGCTTTGGGCTCCAGGCTTTTTTTGTATTTGGGTTTGGCTTAGCCTTGGACTCCAAGCTGTGTTTGGGTTGGGGTGTGGTATAGCTTTGGGCTCCAGGCTGTGTTTCGGATGGGGTTTGGGTTAGTTTTGGGCTCCAGGCTGTGTTTGGGATGGGCTTTGGGTTAGTTTTGGGCTCCAGGCTGGGGTTGAGGTGGGGGATTGACTTTAAGTTTGGATTGGTTGGGGTATCGGTTTAGGGTTTGGGTTAAAGGTTGGGTTTGGTTGGGGTTTGGGTTAGGTTTGAGTTTGGTTTTGAGTTTGTGTTGGTTGGGGTTTGGGGTTAGGGGTGGGGTTTTGGTTTGGTGTCTAGTTTTAGATTTGGGTTGGGTTTTTATCTACACTTCCTTCTGACTCAGACTTTGTTTATACTTTAAATGTTCGACTAATTCAAACTGTCCTACCAGCAAGGTAAGGAATGTGAGGTGTGTGTGTGTGTGTGTGTGTGTGTGAGTGTGTGTGTGTGTGTGAGTGTGTTTGTCCTTGTCAAATATTTGCTTTCTGTGCTCTCTGTGGCACTGGCAGCACAAAAAAAAAAAAAAAAAAACAAAGCCTTCAGAGGAGAGGTGATGAAAGACAGGAAGAGAGGAAGGAGAGAAAGAGACAGAGGGAGAGATGAATGAGATGAAAGGAAGAGAGCAGGTTAGAGAAGAGAGAGAGCAGTTGACAGGAGTGTGTGTGTGTGTGTGTGTGTGTGTGTGTGTGTGTGTGTGTGTGTGTATTTGTGAAGATGAATGGTGTGTGTGATTTATGAGTGTGTAGTGTGCTCAGTATTAATTAGCTCTATGAACTCCAGTGAACTCAACAAAGTATGGATTACTGACACACACACACACACACACACACACATTGCCGAATTTGACAAATTTTCTTTTAGAGCTGATTTTGTATAAGAATGTGTGAAACACTTTAAAATGCCTGTATTGAATGATTGGAGCACTGAACACACGGACAGTCCTAGCTGTACTGTTCGGTCAAATGAGGTGATGGACATGATTCAGATGCGAGTCAGAGAGGGTTAGTATCCCTAAGAGGGTTCATGATGGAGATGTTCAATGAAATACCTGAGAAAATTAGCAATGAGACTCGAGACACACTCACTAAAACCCCTACCTGGCCACTTTATCAGAAACACCCACCTTCTGCTTTTACTCACTGGCCACTTTATTAGAAACACAGTCTTGTACTTTTACTCACTGTCCACTTTATCAGAAAACCCTACCGTGTACTTCCATTTACTGGCCACTTTATCAGAAATACCCATCTTGTATGTGCACTCACTGGCTGTTTTATTAGAAACACCAGCTGTGTATGTCCACTCACTGGCCACTTCATTAGAAACACCCACCTTGTACTTCCACTCACTGGCCACTTTATTAGAAACACCTCGTTGTACTTTTACTTACTGGCCACTTTATCAGAAACCCCTACCTTGTACTTCCATTTACTGGCCACTTTATCAGAAATACCCATCTTGTCTGTCTACTCAGTGGCCACTTTAATGGAAACAGCCAACTTGTATGTGCACTCACTGGCTACTTTTATTGGAAACACCTACCTCGTGCTTCCACTCACTGGCCACTTTAATAGAAACCCCTACCTTGTGCGTCCACTCACTGGCCACTTTATTAGAAACACCCACCTTGTGCGTCCACTCACTGGCCACTTTATTAGAAACACCTACCTCGTGCTTCCACTCACTGGCCCCTTTATTAGAAACCCCTACCTTGTGCGTCCACTCACTGGCCACTTTATTAGAAACACCCACCTTCTACGTCCACTCACTGGCCCCTTTATTAGAAACGCCCACCTTGTGCGTCCACTCAGTGGCCCCTTTATTAGAAACGCCCACCTTGTGCGTCCACTCAGTGGCCCCTTTATTAGAAACGTCCACCATGTGCGTCCACTCACTGGCGCCTTTATTAGAAACGCCCATCTTGTGCGTCCACCCAGTGGCCACTTCAATAGAAACAAGTACCTTTTACTTTCACTTCTGTCTCATGGTTAAAAAGAAGTCTTTGTCCATCAGTGCAGCTGAACAGTTTGGTGTGACATCTCTGCTTTATGTCATGCTGATCTTCATTTCTCTCTTTTTATGTTCCCGTTTTATTCTCTCTCAGGTGATGAAGGGGACAACTTCTACGTCATTGATCAGGGGGAAGTGGATGTAAGTTAAAATTTGCCTACTTGGCCTATAGTGCTGCTACTTTGCCTGCATTGATATTTGAAGGGGCGGGGCTACATTTGGCAGGACTGAAGAAACGAAATGGAAATTTTAAGGAAATGCTAATTTTAGCAGTGTCTAAGCACGACTCTATAAATATTTCATGTCTATTTTGATATTAATAAGAAAGACAGACTACATATTCAGATATGCAGTTGGGAAACTATTATTATCTTTACTTTTGCTGTTTTTACTGTTTTTGGTAGGGAACTTTGGCAAAATTCCAAGAGTCCTGCCTTCCTCAGTTATTGTTGCTACATCTGTCAAACGTTCAGTTCGGTCTACCTGGTAGCATCCGTAATGCTTGTGCTTACAAAAGTAAGCATTCTGGCAACCATGTCTACATTAAACGAACCAGGGACATCACTTGACGTTAAAACTGGCTGAGCTATTCTTGGATTATAGTAGTGTGTAATAAAACTTTGGGCCCACAGGGGGACCCTGGCCATTTAAGAGGTTAAGAACTCGTAGGGCTGAACGATTCAGGGAAGATCTAATTGCAATTTTTCTGACAGATATTTTGACTGTGATTTAAATTGCAATTATTGTTTATGTATTGAGGTCCAGGCCTGTTTATTGGCCAGTAGTACCCATTTTTGTAGCTTGAGGCTGAACGCTGTACGTGGTGCGCCAGACTGCCAGTTGAGGTTGTGATGTCACAGAAAATGGGTGTTGATTGCTTTTGATTGGTCTAACTCATCTATAGGCAGTTATTGGGTTAAATTTCCCCACTCAAAGCTTGATAATGTTGTCAATAATGTAAGGTATAAATAAAAAATTCAGCTCTTGCGATTTGAAAATCGCACTCTTTTAAATACTCTTTTTGATTTAAAATGATTAATCTTTCAGCCTTACTAACTAGTTAGCTAACAGAGCTAAACACTTAACTGTAACGTTATTTATAGAAATCTGCTTTACTTTTAATGTAAGTCAATGGAAGCTGATTTTTTCCAAGTCATTTTGGGCCATTTTCTTCGGTCTATTCATCATGAAATTTATACACAGTGTAAAGAGCAACAAGTATTTTTAAATTATGATCAAAAACTGAAAATTGACAAAAATGGAGTTACGAGGTTTTGATCCAACAAGAGCGATAGTAAAATGATTTTCAGCAAATACAGTCACCCAGATAAAGTTTAGCTTACCTTTGGTCAATCACACTCTCCCTGTTAATAACTTTGACATAGAGCTGTGAATGTGACCTTCCACAGTGTTTAATCCAAATCTTCAAGAATGGAATAAAACAGTACCACCATCCAGGTGATCCGGACAGCATGTCAGGCATTAAACAACACCTTTCCACCTTAATAATAATATAAAAAAAATTAATAATTCTGACTAATTTACTGCCACCGACGTTCTCACTGCAGGTTTGTTATCTGTGGAGTTTTCTCAGAATTTTTTTTTTTCTACCGAGGAAGTAGCATTTAGAGATGAGTGTGATTGGCTGAGAGTCAAAATTTCAAAAATGATCAGTTATCTGGCCCATTTTGCAAGGTGACATGAACTGCAAATGCCTAGTGTGACTGCAGTTTGATGCTATGTAATTTTTTTACTTCTAACAGTGAAAATCAAACATTACTTAAAAGTTTAAAAGAATGAAAGGGCGTTTCATTCCCTTAACGTTTGATAATCAGTGTACGTTTTTTGGCTGGCTTTCATGTAGATCTGTTCCGTTCTGCCTTCTAAAAACAAAAGTGTGGACTAGACGTGCTGCTCATGAGCATACTTCCCCTGCATACTGGCATACATACGCCCGCACACACACACCTTTCCTGCATCCCGCTGAAGGGGGAGGGGCAGTGTTCCGATGGAGATGTCGCGGTGGCGGCGGGCCATTCTAACACAGCGGAACGGGGCGGATCAGAGCCGGCTTTGTTTTTAGCTCAGCGACACACAAGGGATAGAGTTTAAGTGGAAAGATAAAGAGCCGAAACGCGGCTAAACAGGAAAAGACCTTATCGCTTTACATGGATAAAACAGCAGGTAACGGGAGAAGAGCGCGTGTGTGTGTGTGTGTGTGTGTGGGTAGGGTCGGTCATGAGGAGGCCTGATGGAGTCCTGATAGCGGCAGATAGTTCAGGGGCGATCGAGACTATTCTCTGTGTCTTTCTTTCTTTCTCTTTATCTTGCCTTCCTCGTTTCCTGTCTTTCAACCAGCCGTGGACAGTAAAAATGCCTGTGTTCAGGTTTTACTGAATGGCCTTTATAACAGCTTGACTCCAAACATTACACACATCATCAACCAGCTCGTATAGATACGAGTCAAAAGTTTGGATACACCTGCTAGGATTTCTATTATTTTAGATTAGAAATGAACACATCAAAACTATGGAGTAACGCTTATGGAAGATTTCTTGACCAAGAAAGTGTTGAAGGTATATTCATGCATTTTGGTAGGACAACTGCAGCCCTTCCCTTCAGTGATCCCTCCAAAGCCCCGCCTCCACGCAAATACAGCCCCTGATTTTCTTAGCTAGCTCTACAAAGCTACAAAGACCCGCCCCCAAACAAATATAGCCCTCCTCACTCAGTTCTTCCTTTAATGCCCCACCCCCAGATACATTTCCTCCATAGCCCCACCCCCAAACAAATGTAGCCCCCCCTTCATTGTTTCCTTTAAAGCCTCACCCCTAAACAAATAGAGATGGTCCATTAAGTGTTCCCTTCAAAGCCTTGCTCCAAACAGATACGTTCCCTCCATAGCACCACACCCAGATACACCCCCTCTTCAGTAGTCCTTTCAAAGCCCCACCCCAAACCAATATAGCTCTCCACTTCAGTGTTTCTTTAACGCTCCACCCTCAAACAGATACAGCGCCCCTTTAGTAGTCCCTTAAACGCCCCACCCCCAAATAAATATAACCACGCCCTTCAGTGGTCCATTTAAAGCCCCGCCCCCAAACAGATACATTGCCTCCATAGCACCGTACCCAAAAGGACACAGCCCCCCTTTAGTAGTCCCTTAAATGCCCCACCCCCAAATAAATATAACCACGCCCTTTAGTGGTCCATTTAAAGCCCCGCCCCCAAACAGATACATTGCCTCTGTAGACCGACATGCAAACAGGTCCCTTCAACGTCCCACCCCCAAACAAATATAGCCCTCCCCTTCAGCATTTGCTTTAAAGCCCCGCACCCAAAAAGATACAGCCCCTCTTTTAGTGGTCCCATCAAAGACCCACCCCCAAACAAATACAGCCCCTCCCTTCAGTATTAATTTCCCCGCCCCAAATAAATAAAGCCCTTAATTGTCTTAGTGCACAACACTACAACGCCCTCCCTAAAATGTTACTTCCAAAGCCCCGCCCTAAAAAGATACAGCCCCTCCCTTCAGTATTTCCTTCAAAGCCCCACCCCGAAACCAGTAAAGCCCCTAGATGTCTTTGCTAGCACTACAAAACTGCGAAGTGACACCCCAAACAGACACAACCCTTCCCTTCAGTATTCCCTTTAAATAATTACTCTCTTTCACATGGTCTGACGTTTTTCTTTATTTTTTGTTTATTTGGCTTTATTTAACCATTTACTTGTGTGTACACACACACACACACACACACACACACACACACACACACATATATATATATATATATATATATATATATATATATATATATATATATATATATATATACACTTTAAAAGATTGATAATAGGCTATACAAACAGGACATCACCAGCTAATTAACTGCCTGCATACTTTAAATGCCAGTTAGACTAATTATAACAGAAAGAATGCATGGTTAATATGCAAATGAAACAAAAACTGCCACGTGAGGTCTGCTCTCCAGTAAAGAGAAAAATGGATGAGATTGTCCAGAAGAAGGGAAACAGTGTTTTGGCAGCCAAACACAGAGAACCACTGGACTGTAACAGTGCAAATCTGGGCAGAATATAATTATCATCATATGCTAGAACAGCAATTATAAGGTAATTAATTTGTTATTATATGATAATTATATAGTAATTGCCACTTTAGAAAATGCAAGCTCTTGGTTGAAGCTCTGTAACGCTTACATGTGGCACTTCCAAACTATATTTGGATCACGATGATATCATTTCTGCAGACGGTAATCTGCAGGCGATAATCGTTAGTCTAAATTTACAGTATAAACTAAGAAGCGACAGCCCCCGACTTTAATCTCATAAACAGATTCTCTGAAGACTGGAATAATCTGGAACAGTCTTTTCCCCTTCAGCTGTAAATGCTGGTGTTTATTTTTATTCTGCTTTGTTTTAAAGCAGTGATAGGCATCTTATGTCTCGTCTTTTCTAAAGAAAAGTGTTTTGATTTGAAATAGCACCGAAAGTGATGCATCCTTTTGTTTACTGTTTTTGTTGTGTTGTTTACACTGCTAAAACACACACACATACGCACGTCCCACGTCTGGCTCTTTCATATCCTGCTCTAATGTAATCCTCTGTTAAAATCCCTATATAGAAACCAAACTGCAAAATCAGACCAATTTCACTGTTTTTGTGATGTCGTGAAAATCAACATTTTCATATATCCACCTGTTCGGCCTACATCAGTTTAGACCCAACCCCTTCACACTGAAGTTATTAGGAGTGTTTCAGCCCGGACTGCTTTTTGAACTAGGCCTAATATGGGATAGCCAGTCAGAACAGAGCTCATTTACCTATATTAGTCCTAAATCTATATACACATATGACAGGGGGGGTTTAGTCATGTCCTGTTTACCCACTCCCCCAGTCACTCGATATGACCAGTGCAAGAAGGGCAAAGCCAAACACAAGCATCTACCAAGGCAAGCTAACACAGTGTCATTGGACAGCTGAACACATTTAGAGGAGAACACTAACCACCAGTTCTGTTGGCTAACAGACGCCTGTGCTGGCTAGCCTTGTGCTGAGTGATGGGGAGGGGCAGGCCATACTACCCAGCCTGAGACAGCCAATTGTGTTCTCTTGGTCTCTCA